CGAGTCAACAAAAGGACAATAATATGACAATAATGTCAGTACATATCAGTTATAACCATCATAGCAATGGCCTCAATTCACCACACAAGAGAAATTGACTGGCAGAATGGATTAAGAAGCAAAATTGAACACTATGTTGTATAGAAGAAACAAGTGCAAATTGAAGCCAATAGACTGAAAATGAATGGATGGAAAATAATTCTCCAACCAGAAGAGCCAAGAAAATTGCAGGGGTATCATTCTTATTCATAGACAAAGTAAATTTCAAGCCAAAACTTATTAAAAGTGACAAAGAAAGCCACTACATCCTTATAAAGGGATCAACTTCAGAGGAAGAGATGACAATCATAACATATATACACCAAATATTAATGCCCCCAACTATATGAAAGAAATATTAAAAAACATGAAAAACCAAATCAGCACTAATACAATTATAGTGGGGCATCTAAATACCTCACTATCAAAAATATACAGATGGTCTAGGCAAAAAATCAACAACAAAATACTAGAACTGAATGAAGCTTTTTAACATACGGACTTAATAGACCTCTGTAGAGTGTTCCACCCCACAAAACTAGAATATACATTCTTTTCAGTAAGATAGACTACAGAACAGGTCTGAATAAATGCAAAGGATCAACGTTTTCCCCTGTAAATTATAAGCTCATAGTGCAATCAAGCTGGTGATCAACAGCATAAGAAACCATAGGAACTTCACAAACACATGGAAATTGAACAAAACTCTCCTGAGCAATCAATGGATCACAGAGAAAATTAAAGAAGAAATATGACCATTTTTACAAATAAATGAAAATGTGAATACAACATGCAGGAATCTATGGTACACAATAAAAGCAATTACAAGGAAAATTCATAGCATTGAATGCCCACAAAAGGAAAACAGAGGGAGCTCAAATGAAAAACATAATGATGAATCTTAGACTCTTAGAAAAATAAGAGCAAGAAAAACACAAAGCTCAAACAAGCGAGGAAATTATAAAGATTAGAGGAAAAATCAATGCAATGGAAACTAAGAAAATGATACAAAAATAAATGAATCAAAGAGTTGGTTTTTGTAAGATTAAATAAAATTGATAAACCCTTAGCTAATCTTATCAAAAAAAGGAAAGGAAACACTCAGATCCATACAATGAGGAATGAAAAAGGTGAAGTCACAAGAGATCAAACAGAAATCCAGAGGATCATTAATACCTACTTTGAGAACTTGTCCTCTAATAAAATGGAAAAACACAGAATAAATGGACAGATTTTTTAGGTACTTATGAAATACTGAAGCTGAACAAAGAAGATAAAAATATTTTAAACACAATCAGTGAAATTAAAAATGTAATTAAAAACTTATCAACAAAGTAAAGCCCAGTTCTGGATGGATTCACTGCTGAATTTTACAAGACATTTAGAGAAGAAATGCTGCCTTTACTCTTCAAACTTTTCAATGAAATTGAAAGGGAAGCAACACTTCCAAGTTCATTCCTGGAAGCAAGTATCACTTTGATTCCCAAACTAGGGAAAGACACAACTGAAAAAGAGAACTGCAGGCCAATCTCCTTAATGAATATAGATGCAAAAATCCTTAATAAGATACTAGCAAACAGAATACAGAGCATCATCAAGAAGTTCATATGTCCTGACCAAGTTGGATTTATTCCATGGATGCAAGGATGGTTCAACATACATAAGTCTGTAAAAGTAATACACTATATTAACAAAGTCAAGGACAAAAAGCATATGATCCTCTCAATAGATGAAGAAAAAGCATTTGACAAAATTCAACATCCATTCATGATAAAAATCCTACAAAAATAGACTTAATAGACACTTTTAACAGAGTAGCTGAATACAGGTCAATACCCAAAAAGGAATAGCCTTCTTGTTCACAAATAACAGACTCACTGAGAGAGAAATTAGGGAAACAATTCACTTCACAATACCATCCAAAACAATGAAGTATCTAGGAATTGACCTAAAAAATGAAGCAAAAGACCTCTTCACGGAAAACTACAGCACTCTGAAAAATGAGATCGAAGGGGATATAAGAAAATGGAAAGATATCCCTTGCTCCCCAGTAGGAAAAATCAACATGAAAATGGCCACACTACCAAAACTGCTATACAGCATCAATGCAATGCCAATTCAAATTCAAATTTCTATATTCTATAGTTCTATATTTCACAGAACTGGAAAAAATCTCAAAAATACATTTGGAACCATAAGAGACCTAGAATAGCAAAAGCCACCTTAGGCAACAGAGACATGATAGCGGGTATAACAATTCCGATTGAAACTATACTACAAAGTCACTGTGATAAAACAGCATGGTACTGGCAAAGAAATAGACCTGAGCATCAGTGGAACAGATTGGAAGACACAACCACAATTCCAGATTACTCAGCTACATCTTCTTTGACAAAGGAGCTGATTATCCTCACTGGAGGAAACATAGCCTCTTTAATAAATGGAGTTGGAAAAATGATTTCAACCTGCCAAGTATTAAAACTATACCCTTATTTATCACCATGCACTAAACTAAAATCCAAGTGGATTAAAGATCTAAATACTAAAACAGAAACACTAAACTTGCAGGAAGATAAGTTAGGCAGAACTCTTAAAGACATTGGCATAGGAAAAGACTTTATGAACAAATCCTCAGTAGCACGGGAACTAGCAGAAAGAAGCAACAACTGGGATCTCATCATATTAAGAGGCTTCTTTACTTCAAAAGATACCATCAACAGAACTAAAAGACAACCTACAATGTGGGTAAAAAGTTTTGACAGCTGCTCCTCAGACAAATGGCTATTATCTAGAATATATGTATACAGAACTCAAAACAATCACCTCCCCATAATACAAAGACCCAGTTCAAAAATGGGCATCTGAAATGAGCAGACATCGCAGACAAAAAAGTAAAAGCAGCAAGTAAATATGTGAAAAAAGGTTCTACATCACTGGTCATTTGAGAGATGCCTATGAAAACAACACTGAGATTTCAACACACCCCACAAAGAATGGCTTCTATCAAAAAATCAAACAATATCAAATGTTGGCATGGTTGTGGGTAGAAAGAAACACTTTTCCATTGTTGGTGAAGTGCAGACTGGTGCAACCACTATGGAAATCAATATGGAGATACCTGAAAGAGAAGGCGTTAGAGGTTCCATTTGACCCAGCCAACCCTCTGCTGGGCATCTTTCCAAAAGAATTAAAAGAATCATATTACAGTGATGTATGCACACCTGTGTTTATAGCAGCACAGTTTGTAATAGCTAAAAATTGGAAACAGCCCATTTGCCCATCAGTTGGAAACTGGATAAAGAAGATGTGGTAGTTCTATACAACGCAATACTACTCAGCCATAAAGAATGAGAAATTACTTTTGTTCATGGGAAAATGGATACATATTGATATACTCCAAAGTGAAATAAATAAGTCACACATGTGTAAATACTGAATAGTATCTCTGGTGTCAATAAACTATAATAGTACATAAGATCCTGATGAGATAATTGACAATGTGTAATAGGAAGAAAAGGGCTCAAGGAATAGGGAATGTGGTAAAGGTAGGGGAAAGATGATAATGGAAAAGAAAGAAATAGGAGAAAATGAAAAAATGAAATATAGTTTTTGTAAATGCAGAGGGGAGGAGGTATAGCAAGGCCAGGGACAAGGGGAAAAATGAGAACCAAGACCTGTCAGGTAAAGGTACAGGATCCCAATAATGAATGTTACTGGACTGTATACCTAAAATGTACCAGCAAACTCAATTAGGGAAATAAAAGATTTTCTGTTTTGTAATCTGAAAGCAAAAAGACAAAAAAAATATGAGATTAAACTTCACAACTATTGAAGATAATTCCAGGGAACAAGAGAAGAAATCAGGGGAGATAAAAGTCAAAAAGTTATCACAGAAAGCTTCCCTGAGGGCAACATATACTCAAGACCAGAACTAATGCATCACTAGGTGCTTCAGAGAATATTAAAGGAAGATCCCACACCTGCACTCCATTGGGAGGGGTCCTGAATTTCAGGGGTGAAGAAGACTTTTATTAATGTCAAGATAAAGTCACTCGCAAGGGAAAGCAAATCACCGCAGTGCCAGATGTCTTTTCTGTCTCACTGAAAATTAATGGACCAGTATCAGAGCAAACAAATTTGAGCTACAATTCTGTAGCCTGTTAAACAGGAGGGCAAATAAAGGGCTGGGAAAGAAGTACATCAGTCATACTCCTTTTTTTAAAAAAAAAAAAAAAAAAAAAAAGCTGGTCTACAACAAAATCATTTCAAGAGAGCAGAACAAGATATACAAGAAAGGATGGTAGGCAAATAAACCCACAGAATATATAATTAAGTCTAAAAATTTCTTATTGTGTTAATGTGATTGTTATAAGTGATTCCTAAAACAGAATGCAGTCTTCATTATATTAACAAATATAATAAAATAATTTCATTAATGCATTACTTTATTTAATAACTTAATAATAATTTTATTCATATGATTATTTGTTAACAAATTATTTTATTAAATGCATATATAATACAGTACATAATTATGGATGGATATATGCCTAATATATGCACATGTATATAACATAGTAATCTATATAATTTTGTTATAGTTGTAAAATTAATATCTAAAACAAAATTAGTTACTTAAAACAGCAGAAAGGATGGGAAATAAGGCTCAATCTTGCATGATACAGATCTTATTTTTTGATGGATTAAAAAGTCATAAGATTATTGATATTGTTGCAGAATTATATAGGTTTGCTAGTAATTGAAAACTATTTATTCATAGCATGAGTGTAGTATGTAGACTGTGGCAGTGATGTTACAGGTTTCCTCAGTATCTTTTCTTTCTTTCTTAAGATAAAATTCTGATTTTATCAAGGGAGTATTGTGTCTGGTTAAAATACAAAATTCCCCACCACTCTTGCAGTTAGGAGAGAGGCGACATGACCAAACATGGATGGACATACCTGTGAAATGTCAGCACAGGACACTTAAAAGGTGCTCACCAGGCTGACACACAACTTCTGTGCCCTTCTTCCTGCTTTCTTCCTACTGCTTGGAAATCAGGCACTCTGGCTGCAGCCTTAGCAGCTGCGCTAGGGGCTTGAGAAAAGAAGCTCTCACCTAAGAAAGGTGGGGCAGGAAGAAAACAGGCAACTGGATTGCCGAGCACAGTGGATCCTCTTTCCCAAGAATTCGGACAGCCTTTCTCTAAATTTCTCCTATTTGTTGAGAACTTGGGAAGGGGAGCAGAAGGGCAAAGCTTATGCCACTAAACTGCTTATTTTTGAGTTTTTGTTCATGCAGATGAGCTGAGTCCTAACTGGTCTATAGATCTTCCAAAGTGAAAGAGTGAAAAACAGGAACAAAACAAAATTTACTGATCTGCCATAGATTTGGAAAGTAGAGGAACAACAACAAAAATAAAAAGAAAATATCAATAAAAAATGAGAAAGTAATATATGGCACGGTTAGAGAGTGAACTGTACTCAGCTTTCTTTTATAAGAGACTACAGAAAATAAAGTGATATGCACAGTTTGAAAATAAAAGGTTGCTGGAGAAATGCTAAATGAGAGAGTAATATTAATATCTGGAAATGTAGAATTCAGGGCCAAAGTCATAAAAGGGAATTAAAACTACTATTTAGCATAGAGTGGAGCAAGGAAAAACATGCTGAGATGATATATTTACAATATTTTATGTATCAAATTTGTTCTGAAACAAAGCAAAAATTCTTAACACTGTGAGGAATATCTGACAAAACCACAGTGTCGGTTGGAGGACTTCAATCTATGTCTCAGGATTGGAAAGTTTATACGGACAAAGCATAATTTTGTGTGTAGTTTGAGCAAATCAGGAAACAAATTTACTTTGAGGGTTATATCCAGTGCAAGGAGGATAAAGAATTTTTTCAACACCTACAGATCTTTATAAAAATGGTTATATATTGGGCTTCAAATAAAATTTCAAACAATTCTCACAGAAGAAATTGTAAAGACCACATTTCTTTATTACAATATAATAAATAAAAAATAAAAATGAAAGGCAAATAATAATAATAATAATAGAAATGAACTTCTAAGGGAAAAGATAACAATCTTTTAATAATTCTCTGGTTAAAAAGAAAATGGGTAACTCTACAGAGGCTGAGGCAGGAGAGTAAAAAGTTCAAGGCCAGTCTGGGGAATATAGCAAGAACCTGCTTCAAAATAAAATAAAAAGGGCTGGAGAAGCAGGTCAGTGCTTCTTGGATTCACTCACCATTAGTTTCGGACAGACCTCTATTTACAAGGTTATGTTGACATTTGGTTCTGGAATTGGATGAAATTAAGAAGGACTTTAATTTTTGAACAGCTGATTCTGCTGAAACATTCAAAGAACTGTACACAAAGGTAACTTATTAATTTACCTTGCCTTCCAAAAAAGTTTAAGCAATAGTACTTTGAATAGAAAAGCAGTAACTGTGAAATGTTTACACAATTCAATTAGACAATACCAGAACAGAATATTCTCCTTTTTTTTTTTTTGGCAGAATTTTCTGAGTTTATCAGGTACTTCAAGAACTGTGTATGGAATATTTTCTCACCCCCAAATATTAAGGTTTGCAGGAAAGAATTAATTAAAGGTGTCAGCAATTTTAAACTTATTAATCTTTAAAGGCAAATGTTACATAAAATTCCAATAAAAATTTTTAAACACTAAGATCATATTGAAAAAAATATTCAAAACCAGTGACATGGTGATAGAGACATATCTATGACAATAATTATTCTATAAGATAATTTTCTACCATATGGTTTTGTGGTGTGACATGTCTGCTATGTTCTAGAAAAATCAACACTTGTACATAAACGATTACTTACCAAAATTTGGTACAGTCACTAGTCTGTAATTTTCCGTGTGATTTGATAGAGAAGTAGCAAGAGACTGAGCATGTGGGAAGCCTCATTTTATAATAACTCACTCTCTAGAGAACTAATCCAGCCACACAAGACCGACACCTCACTTTGAGGAGAAAGCTAACCCAGTCATCACCCTCCACTAGACCTCCAGCTCTTGAAGTTTCCAGCACCTCAACACTGCCACCCTGCGGCCAGATTTCAGCACTTTGTAGGGATAGAGGCCCATAGGAAAAGACAGGGACACCTCCCTATCCCCCCAAGGAGTTCCGAGAGCTGGCAGACAAGCTTAACCACCCATGAAAAGCTGGCAGTCTATAGTTGCACCTCCTCTTCATGCTGTACCTGCTAAGCTTGGTTTGCTAAGATCAAAAGTAAAAATAACCTTGGCCCTAAAATGTAAAAGGTCCCCAAAGACCCTTCCCTGTTGTCCCTGGTAATAAGCTAAGGTAATCATTAACCAAAGAAGTAGGGGCACCCTCAGCCCAGAGGCAAGATAGTTCCCCAAATACTATAAAGCAGCATCTTGAGCCCCCCTTCAGTGGGGGCTCCATTACAGGCACCCTGCCTGTCTCTCTGAGAGAAGGCAGCTGTACTCCCGAATGCTTCCTAAATAAAAATACAACTTTTATTCTTCTACTCTTTTGGTCTCTATCTGATTCTTCCATAACCTTTTCTTCCTCTTCCATTAATTAATTGTATTGGTACATGTAAGGTATACAATATGACATTCATCACTGGAAATTTGCAACTTTACATAATCCATCTTGGTTCTTATCTTTTCCCCTGCCCTCCCTTCAACCCCTCCACTCCTCCCTATTGACAAAGACTTTGCTTCCATTTTTTCTTTTCTCATTTTAATTCCATTCCCTTCTTTCTTTTCCCCTACCTCTCCCACTTCCCCTTACCCTGTGCACCTTTTCTTCATGTTTAACATTAGGCCTGGAACTGTGTGGACTGTCTGCCTGTCTCCTCCCACAACAACTTGAACCTTTGGCACACAAACCATATCTAAACATAGGAGAACTAGGAAATTGATTCAGTGAAATCGTAGAACTCAGGCTGAGGCAGGAGGATTGCTGTGAGTTTGAGACCAGCCTGGGCTACATAGTGAGTTCCAGGTCAGTCTCAAGGACATAGTGAGACCCTGTCTCAAAAAACCAAAAAATAAAAAAAAATAAAAAAAAAATGAAGAAAGCACATAGTAGCCATATATCCGATGAAACAGACAAATGACCATGTGTTTTATGGAAAGGCTCCCAACATCATTAGTCATCCTGAAAATCCAAAGCACAATGAGATGTCATCTTATACTTGTTAAAATATCATCTCACACCTACAAAATGCTTTTAGAAATTCAAACAATGATCTATCACAACCCAATTACACTCTTCCAGAATCTCTCTCCTGCTTTTAGGAATAAGACTGGTCTGTAGCAGGGCAAATATGACCTTTCATGATCTAGCTACATTTTCAGTTTTTCCTTTCTCAAACTCTCATCTGGAGTTCATACATTTGGTAGAAGAAAATTCTCTGTAGATCTAGTTGTTCAGTAACATACAACTTTTCATTGAGAGAGCATTTGTCTTATTTTAGTAGTCTGCCTAAGTCTACTAATCTGTAAGCCCCAGAGAGACTCTCTCCCAGGGAGGGAGGTCAAGTAGGTGTGAAGAGACGGTGAGCTCAACATGAAGTGGAAATAAACTGTCTAGGGGCCAGCTGATTCTCTGATCAAGGTGTCTGGGAGAGATTCCGGGAAGTGTGGGGTGGAAGGAGGAGGGGAGATACTGGGAAATGGGACAGGGCAGGTAGACTTGGCCTCCACTTATCCACTGGGTGAACTGTCCCACACGGATTTCTGAGTATTACTAAATCCTGGAAAACTGTGGGGAGACGATGAATCTTAGGGGACTTCCTGAAGGAGAAATCTGTGTGATAGAATTAAAAAGGAGTAGAGGTGGAAGTGAGGGTCTTCAGCTAGAAAATGCTTACTGTGAATCCGGGCTATAGAAGTAGAGAGGCAAAGCCAGGACAAATGAACCTAGTGGAATTGATTTTGGAGATGTACACAGATGAAGAATGACACAGATGTGGAGAGGAGGAAACTGCTGGAAACTGGGATCTTTTGGGGAAGACTGTTATGAGATGGAGTTCTAGACAGGGGAAAGGGGGCTACTAGCTCAGAGCTCTACCTTGTATACTTTTGGAAATTGGAGACAGTCCTAAAGTGCTGATGGGCCTGAATGGGTCTGGGTTCTTGCCAACTTCCAGTCCTCCTGGCCCATTCCTTTAATCCCTGGAGGCACCAGGAGTCAAGCCCTGATACATGCACTGCAGGATCCTTCATGTAAATGACTTGGAGAAACAGGAGTTTTAAGTTTATGCTAAGCAGGGGTTGGGAACAAGGTTGCTGCCCAGTGGGGCATGAAGAACACAGCATTCCTGTTCCTTGCTGAGATTCCAGGAACCTCAGGAGGTCATTGTGTCCTGAAATACTCCAAAAGGCCACAACTCCTGCCTGGCTATATTCCTGCTTCTCCATTGGGTGCAGTTTCATTTCCTACCTCTCTTCTTGTACAGAGATCATAACAAGGAATGGCCCAGCTGGGTACATGGAGGGATTTATTTTTATTAAGATTTCTGAGAGACTTGAAGATGAAGTGACTTAGGTGGTGTTGTAGTCAGGGTTTTGGTAAGGGAATACATTAAATACAGGACACAAAATATATAGGATTATTTTACAATAATTACCCAAAAGAAGAAATACAGAGGAGTGCAAGTGATTAACCACACACTAGAGGCCCAAAGAATCCAGCTGAGGAACTGGATTCCACAGCAATGACCCACGCAAGTCCAGCTGAAGGCCTAGAGTTCAAGGCAGTGTCCTCTACGAACCCAGCCAGAGGCCTATAGCGCACCACAATGTCTTATGTTTGCCTCTATTTAGAATTTGTATCCTGAAGGCCCAAGGCTGGTGGTGGAAGCCAGAAAATCTATGCTGGTGGGATAAGGGATTTGTGCCACCAAGCTGAGAGATCTCTTTGGAGCCAGGATGTGATTCTCATGGTGAAGATCAGAGCTCTCCTGACAAACCAGCAGCCATTCTTAGTGACAGTGAGGTCCTGAGCTCCTCTGGTGAGGAGAGCCTCATTCACATCAGGAAAATGATCCACAGCAAGCGTCTCCTAGAAAATTAACAGCCTGCCATATTCCCCTCCAGTTCTCCTTTTATGGCTATTGGTAACAATCCTTAGGTGGATCATCCACACCCAGACCAAGCTGATTCAGTTCAGCTGGACATCACAAGTTGACCATTATTTAATCCACCACAGGTAGCTGGCTTTCCACTTAGGTTCATAAGATTGACAGGAAGCAAGGAGGAAAACAGGCTGTGTATGGTGGCTCACTGTCTATATAGAGAGGCCAGAATGAATTCTTTTCTTTACTCTGGTTTTACATTTCTCTGTAAGTAGATAACCTCGCAGTATATAAGTGCTGTGACTGTGTATTTACAAACACAGCTATCTCAAGGCTGGAAGTTTCCTTGTTCTTCAGTCTTATTTCATATCTTCTTTTAATATATTAAAAAATCTTATGTAGGGCAAATCTAGCTCTTTCCCCTAAATATATGTGGGTCCATAGGGGCTCTACTCTTAGGGCCATCTTTCCCTGTGAATCCTCTTCTGGCACAACTACCAGCTCCTTGAAACTTTGTTCCCTGCAGCCATCTCTGAACCCCTCCAGATGCAAGACTCAGTCCCCTCCCTTTTTTTCTAACCATGAGTACAACCACTATGAAGCTTCCGTGTGACAGGCTCATGCCCAAGGTTTGAGTTGACATTACAGCATGACAAACAGTTTTATCTTGACTGTTAATCACCTGCAGCCCACATTCATTGGCAACAGTCTGTTAGAGTTCCTCCCCATCCAACCTCCTCTTCAGGTCCACTCCCTGGACTTCCACTGTCCCCTGGCTCTTGTCTCTCTCCTTAGGTTGCTCTCCTTATCACCTTCATTGGCTTAAACTCTCATTTGTTTATGAAACATGCAGGTAATTTGTGCATACTATCAGCTCCACTCTCCTTGTGTCTGGTGGCCTTGCAGAATTTAGCTGTTGCTAGCAACACACCTACCCAGAGGGGCTCAGGGTATAGTGCTAAGAAAAAAGTAAGACAAAGCACAGTAAAAAACTGAAAATCATCAGTCTATACATAAAAGTTGTCACACTTCCAGATGACACAAGGCCAATAGTCAATTACTTTGTCATGGACATTTCTTAATCTCTGTGGTATAGACAAGGCCACTAGGATTAGTGTGTGTGTGTGTGTGTGTGTGCGTGTGTGTGTGTGTGTAAGTGTTGGAGAGCAAGGATCATCTCACTGAAGGTTGAAGTTATTCCCTGGATGGTAGTTGGCAGGACTGGCTCAAGCAAGGCTCTGACATTAAACTAGGGCCTGCGTTCTCTCTCTGTTCCAAATCCTGGTGCATTTCTGGCCCAATGACTGACTGTCTCTGAGGGGTTAGTCTACCTACCTGCTGTGATCAAAAAAGAAAGCCAGGACCCACTTAAACCTACAAATGTCTGTTTTACTTAAATTCTTTTCACAAGTAAACAGTGTAATGTTGGTGATTATGATTGCATAGCCATCAAAAATATATAGAAAGTGGTGACTTCTTGGGCAAAAGAGCAGCATATCAAAGAGATCTTTATGTAATTGTGAAGATTGTAGGTTTATAACAAATATTTAAATTTCTTGCTTTCCCATGTTGTATTTGTAGCTGATTCTTCAAGTCTATAAAGTCTGAAGAAATGACTAGCAGGTTGAAATTCACACAGCACCATCTCTGAATAAGGTAGCATCTTTAAATAATAATGTAATAATAATTCAATTTAAACCTTCATCATTGTAACAAAAGCTAATGCATATCATTCTGTAGTTCAATTTGAAACTGGCACTGTCTTTCTTATATTCACCTTAAGGTACATAACTCTGCATATGATAACTGTACTTTCAGACATAAGGCCTTTAAGAAAATAACCTCATAAATGAATGGTTCTTGGAAAACTTGTTATCTATATTCTGTAGAATGACTCTGGTTCATATCTCCCATGATGTATTAAAACAACATCAAAATGCAATAAAGATTGAGGTATAAATATGCAAACCTTGTGAAGGAAAAAAATGTTAAAATTCTTGAGGATATAAGCACAGGCAAACACTTTCTGAACCCAGTGGCCCAAAATATAATACCAAGAATCAACATATAGATTA